ATGCATTGCTGAAATTAAGATAATTTAATAGAAAGCTGCTAGTTTGGTACATTAAATGAATGGTGTAAACTAAGATATTTATCTTATTTTAAATATAACAAGCATATACTTCAGTCACAGAGAATACATCTTGAGTTTATTTTTATATTAATTTTATATCTAATTTCTTTGTATTGTTTTAGTGGATAAACACGGTCCTAAGAACAAGATAGGGGAACAATTTACAGAAATATTTATCAAGCATTCAGATAGCATTGGTTTGGTGCTGGCATTTCTTGAAGAGTTTGACTTTCGTGTCAGGTGGCCAGCGCTTAAGTTACTGACGCATTTATTAGCAAACAGGTCTAAAGATATTCAGGAAATAATCTTGGTCAGTCCTATGGGTGTCTCTAAATTGATGGATTTGCTGAGTGATAGCAGAGAAGTTATACGCAATGATGTAAGCTAAATTTATCAATGAGGAATATAACAAGTTTCAGGAATATAATGAGAATGCTTTGTTTATAATACATTATTTATATAGGTCTTATTGCTGCTCATCCAATTAACAAAAGGAAATGCTAACATACAAAAAATAGTAGCATTTGAAAATGCATTTGATCGCATATTTGATGTCATCGACCAAGAGGGTAATGCAGATGGTGGTATTGTTGTGGAAGATTGCCTTCTATTAATGTTAAATCTTCTCAGAGGAAACGTTAGTAATCAAAACTTTTTTAAAGAAGGTAATATACTCATACAATTAGATTTTTCCGACACTTTTTATAATCTCATTGTTTTATAATAATTTTTGTGTTGCATTATGCAGGTAGCTACATTCAGAAATTAACACCAATGTTTCAAATTCCCAATGAAATGGAGGATAATAATCTTGGTGGATGGAGTCCTCAGAAAGTTTCTAATGTTCATTGCATGGTACAAGTTGTACGAGCGTTAGTAGCACCGAGTGCTCCTGCTCAGGTAAAAAATAATATTGTGGCGCTATATAAAATTTCCAATGTCTGTATATTTTTAATTAATAACTAAACAATTGTATATATGAAGGCAGTCGCAGCTTGTCAACGAACTATGAGAGCATGCGGATTATTGCAAGCTTTGTGCGATATATTGATGGCTAGCGGCGTACCAGCGGATGTATTAACAGAGACCATTAACACTGTAGCAGAAGTAATAAGAGGGAATGCTAGTAATCAAGAATTTTTGGCGGGTGTTATGGCACCAAGCACTCCTCCAAGGTATATCTTAGATACATGTTAATCTCATCCATTTTCTATCGCACACACATATTTTTCAGAATAATAAAAGACTTACAAATTACATATAAGTATATTATAGGCCGGCTATTGTTGTCTTACTAATGTCCATGGTGAATGAAAAACAACCATTTGTTTTGCGATGTTCAGTATTATATTGCTTTCAATGCTTCCTGTACAAGAATGAGGTAGGACAAACGCAGTTAGTCCAGACTTTATTACCACAAGGCAATGAGGCACCATCACTAACTACAGGTTCGTAATCTCTTTTATAAATGTATAATGTAAAAAAATACCTCTAATTTTAGATAAACGTTTTTGACTAAACTGCGTGAAATAACGCGACTATTTTGTGTATATCTGTTGTTAGGACAGTTATTGTGTGGCGGATTATTCTCTATAGATTCTTTGTCAAATTGGTTCTCCGCTGTGGCGTTATCTCATGCTCTGATCGAGAACATAAGTCAAAAGGAACAACTTTTAAGAGTACTTCTCGCAACCAATATTGGAAAACCACCAGTGACGCTTATGCAACAGTGTGTTATGTTATTACAGCAGGGTAACAAAACGCAGTGTAAATTAGGCCTGCTGATTCTGCTTTGTCGATGGACCTCATACTGTCCACTTGCTGTAAAATCATTCCTGGCTATCGATTCCTCAGTAGCGTATTTAACAGCTCTTTTGTCATCACAAGAAAATAACGATGATTTACAAGAGACCTTACTGCAGAGTATGTGCGCCTTGCTTATCGGTATTTGCGTACACTTCAATGATGATAGCGTTCCTACTTATACAAAAGTAAATACTATTGATATTTGTACAAATCCGATATATAAAGTGAATAATGTGCAACTAATAAAACTTATCTATATTATTTTACAGGAAAAAGTGTGCAATTTAATAGAGAATAGAATAGGTTGGGAAAAGTTTCAAGATGCAATCGGTGGTATTGCTAGACACGAGATATATTCCCGAACACTAAAACATCCACAGCCTTCAGCTAAGAATCCGTCGGAACTTTTATTGGATCACGAATTTTGCAGGTTGTTAAAAAGTTTGGAAGGTACTTAGATATGTCAAACATTCAAATTTTTTACAATCATAAAGAAAATTAATATTGTCAACTTTTTTAAAATGTAAATAAGATTTTTCATTTTTTTTTTAGGTGTTATAATAAAATCGGTGATAGATGCTAATAATGAGAACAAGAATCAATTATCTGTAATGAATTTACCTGATAATACATTAATTTCACAATACAAAGATCTTATTAGAGAGCAGGATATACAAATTCAAAGGCTAAATCAAGCTAATGATTTTCTTACAAAAGAAAAACAAGAATTTGAGGTAGAAACTAAATTTCTTTTTAGAAAAATATAAATTTATAGAATACATTAAAAAATTTTTTTTAACATTTTTGTAGGCACAAGTACAAGAACTTCGCTCAACTGTTAGTCATCTACGAGATCAAAATTTGGTTCTTCGAGCTGCACAAGCTAATATAGGAGATGGAAAAGAAACAAGCGCTTCTAGTAATAATCTAGATTTGGAAAAGGAATTGCAAACGTATAAAACAATGGTCGCAGATTTAGAAAATCGTTTAGCGGAATATACGCACATAATGCAACAACACAATGAGAAGGACAAAGAAAACAAGGAATCATATTTGAAATCTCAATTGAAATTGAAGATTGATGAGCTTGAAAAATTAAAGAAAGATCAAGAAGCTCTTTTAGAACTCTTAACAGATCAAGATAGTAAAATTACACTGTATAAAGAAAGATTAATTGAATTAGGGGATAAGGTATGTGCTATGAAGCTGTTCTTCATATAATATATGATAAACAAAATAAGTATCTTCTCTCTTTTTAGGTTGAATCTGATGAAAGTTCGGGTGAACTTGACACAGATGATCAACCAGAATCAAGTAATTAAGACACTTTAATTGACGTTCTTTCAAATAAATTAATAACAGAATTCTTTTACCTGTAAACCTTTTCTTTTCCATATTTTGTAAGATTTCACTTAATGTGTCATAAATAAACAAAATATATATACAGATGTGTATATATATTTGCACATTTGCAAATGTATATTCGAATAATTGCAAATTTGTACACAAATACATACACATAATTGTATAAATAGATATTCGGTCTCTAGAAGTTAAAATGTATAAATTTGATTTAATGAATAGATATTTTAAGTAAATTGGACTACAATTTCATTCTAATTCTGTGTAATAACTATGTTTTAATATATATTCTAATGTGAAACAGAAAATTTGTAAAAAATGTAATTAATTGTAAAAGCAGATTACATTTGAACTGAAGAAATTGATGCCAACCATTCCTACATATTGTCACGTCTACACAGTGCGGTGGAACTCTGATTTTGCGGCCAAAATTCTAAAAAAAAGTTTCTAGTTGGGGTTTTTTCACTGTTTGGGTTGGCCAAAGGGATCCCCTAAGAAACGAAAAACGATCACAGTAACGTTCCTTAACTAAATCCCCTCGTCAATGTCATTCGGAATGTGGCCTTCGTCCAAGCGCTGCACTATTGTAGTCTAGGCCCGTCTACAATACACGTAGTAAGCTTGGTTTAAGAAGTAAGTAGGTTTAAGGAGCAAAGAGTAAGGAGCTTACGCTAGTCTCGTCTACAATACAGAGGAGTAGAAATCGGGGTAGAGATGGCATTGTCATCGTTCAATAAGTTATTTCAATACTACCATGTACATCATCACAAAGTTCCCAAAAAACAAACATCACCAGATATTAAATAGAGAAAACGTGATCCTTTCAAAAAGTTCTTGCTGTAGTTCTTGCTAAATAGGTTATTATTTGCCATGAGAGAATGGATTATCAATTAATTGCGACAAGTTCGTTCCTCATTGCGTGTCATCAGCATTTGATATTACAATGGAAACAACGAAAACAAAGAGAACGTGGCCATGGAAGAAGAAGGTGGTGGGTCCGTCCTATAAATCGAAATAAAGATGAACAAGGTTTCCTTTTAAATCTTATTAAGGCCCGTCTACAATACACGTAGTAAGCTTGGTTTAAGAAGTAATGTGTGGTCTACAATGACAGTAGCAGTAGTGGATTAGGTTGTAAGAGTAAGAAATTGACCAATCACAGTCGAATGATGTGAGAAGAATAATCGACTGCAATTGGTCAATTTCTTACTCTTACAACCTAATCCACTACTGCTACTGCCATTGTAGACCACGCATAAGAGTAGGTGTAAAGGCCCGTCTACAATGCACGGAGTAAGAAGTAAGAGTAAGAAATTGACCAATCACAGTCGAATGTGAGAAGAATAATCGACTGTGATTGGTCAATTTCTTACTCTTACTTCTTACTCCGTGTATTGTAGACGACACCTAATAGGTGTAGATGTAGGCGTAGCGAAATAAATTTATTTTATTTCTTAGGGTGGAGTCCCATGAAGCATATTTGCCGCGTATTGCGTAACCGCGTAACCAATCAATAATCAGTAAAACACGAAATCACAACAGCGGATCGCTTCTGATTGGTTACGCGGTTACGCGATACGCGGTAAATACACCTCATGGGGCGTCGTCTACAATATACGGAGTAAGAAGTAAGAGTAAGAAATTGACCAATCACAGTCGATTATTCTTTTCACATTCGACTGTAATTGGTCAATTTCTTACTCTTACTTCTTACTCCGTGTATTGTAGACGGGCCTTTAGACTCCAGCCTTACTCTTACTTCAGTCCTTACATTTACGCTCAGCCTATCAGGGGGCATGTATTATGGAATTAATTCGGATAGATTTCGATCGAATATATTCCGTAAAAATTTTTCTTAGAAAATACAACAGAAATCTAGGAAATAGTTAAATAATTCGACTGAAATCGAATCTATTTCGAATAATTCCATATATGTACGTAGTTAGATTGTCGGCCGGTGTGCTAACCTAGAACCTAGAACTAACCTACAAATACAATTTTTAATAAAAGGAGCAATTCTATCACATAATTTCTTTCTAAAAATTGAACAATTTCTTGCTTGTTTCTCTTGTCATTAATATGAATATGGAAGACTTTGAAAAGGATTTGGAAGAGGATTTGGAAGTCACAGAATCTGAAGCATCAGAAGCGCAAATTGTCACATGGAGAACATTGATAGATCTAGTAAGAGAAAATCCTATATTGTATGAAAAAAAACATAAAGGTTACAATAAAAAAAGTGATAAGTATCTAATATGGACTCATATTGGAGCCTTGTGTGTACCACCAATGACTGGTAAGTACGATGTAGATAACAATGAAAAACAAGATTAGAGTTCTTGTATGTATTTCTGTCCTCGTAATATACGTGTTTACAGGACTCGCTACATAAAAGGAATTTTACCGTTTGTGACAGAAATTTGGAAAAGAACGCCGAAAGATTCTGCAGTCGCAAGCACGATCTGGTGCAGGTGGAAATGATACTGCATATAAGTCGAATTGGATATTATATAATGATTTAATGTTTCTTGTTGATCACATTCAACCTAGACAGTGAGTAATCATGCAATGGTTGTATATTATATACAGATTATATTTGAGTTTATGTTTAAGATTATCATATTTATGTAGAACAACATCAAACTACCGGCATTCTAAACCTATACATAACAAGGCTTCGAATTTATTAAATTCATTAGCCTCACAGCGACTTATTTCAACACCATGTACATCATCACAAAGTAATTCTGTTTCGAACTCATTAGCCTCACAGCGATTTATTTCAATACTACCACGTACATCATCACAAAATAATTCTGTTTCGAATCCATTAGCCTCACAGCAACTTATTTCAACACCACCATGTACATCATCACAAAATAATTCTGTTTTGAATTCATTAGCCTCACAGCAACTTATTTCAACACCACCATGTACATTATCACAAAGTAATTCTGATAACAGCTCAGATGTATTGAATATGTTTGAATTCTTTACAGGTAAACAATAATGAAATGGAATTATTATTAAGTATACTGCAAGTGATAGTTATTGTGCATACTCATGTTCTATATTTATTCTGGTTTAGAATCTTCAAGTAAGGATGAAGAGGTGTTCTCTAAAGTGAATTCTAAGGACTCATCAAGTACACTTGATCCAAGCAATTTATCGATTTTGTCAGACAATGCTTCTGCAAGTGTATTGAAAGCTGCAGTCTCTAAAATTGTTCCCAAGAAACAAACACCACCATCAGATATTAAGAAGAGAAAACGTGGCTTAACTGATGAAGAAGATGCAATAATGCTACAATCTTCCAAGAATATTTCTTCGCTGGCCAATACATTGGAGACTGTGCTAAAGAATCCAACATCAAAGCAGCTGGCTGTATCTGAAGTGACTTCTGAAGTACAAACCATGATAGGACCCATAGCTTTGGGATTGAACAAAGTTCCTATGGAATATCAGATGGATTGTCTTATACATATTCTCTCCAGCATTAATGATTTTGCAAAGAAAAAATCGTAACATTTTTTATGTTTGAAAATATTGAACAGTTAATATTTCTCAGTGATAAAACACGTTTAACATGTTTAGTAAGTTTTTAATTTTTTTAATTTTTTATATGGAAAGCATTTAATATAAAAATCTCTCTCTCTCTCTCTCTCTCTCTCTCTCTGTGTGCGTGCGTGCGTGCGTGCGTGCGTGCGTGCGTGCGTGCGTGTGATAAAACGTGTTTAATAGGATATTATTTTTTGTTATTTTTATACGCAGAGCATTTAACACATGAATCTTTCTCTGTGATAAAACATGTGTTTAACATGTTTAATAAGATTTTATTTTTTTGTTATTTTTATACGCAGAGCATTTAACATATGAATCTTTCTCTGTGATAAAACATGTGTTTAACATGTTTAATAAGATTTTATTTTTTTGTTATTTTTATACGCAGAGCATTTAACATATGAATCTTTCTCTGTGATAAAACATGTGTTTAACATGTTTAATAAGACTTTATGTTTTTGTTATTTTTATACGCAGAGCATTAATATATGAATCTTTCTCTGTGATAAAACATATATTTAAGAGTAAGTTTTCTATTTTTATCTTTATATGCGGAATGTTTATTTAATAATGTATGAAAAATAAACTTATAAACCTACTTTGTGGTCACACTATATTTCAAATATTTGCTATGTACAAGTTCTTACTTTTTTAAATTTTATATGTAAAGCATTTAATAATGCTTGTAATAAATGTATGAATACGTTTAGTTAAGAAAAGATTTGAAGTAGAAATATTAAAGAATATTAATTAAAAATATTAATTAAGATAAATCTTAACAGATATTCATTTTTAATTAAATTCCTTATTCCATGCTAATGAAAAATCAAGTAAACAGTGTTTATGTAATTTTATTAATAGTAAAATAATACAGTACGAAAATCTGAAATATATTATCCTAGTCATATTAACTTTATATATGTATGTGTATGGAAAATATACATTGCATATTAAATTTATGGCTACCGTAGGTATATATTTAATTACACTTTCTTAGCTTTCTGTTTTTATATATCGCCTTCGCTTTTGATCTTCAAGGATTGTTTAAATATAAACTGGAAAATTTAAAAAGGGCAAAAAAGTGTGTTTACTGTAATATAATTATACTAATAATTATTAAATTATTCTACATTAACGTGAATGCTTCTTTTGGTACATGTTATTCTGTTGTTGAATCTTTCATTATCATATCACAATATATATTGTAGACAAAATATTATAATTCTGTTATATGTATAAATTAAATTGGATATCATTTGCGGATTAATTGTAAAACTCTAAGTATTCATTAAATTAAACAAATATAATAATACAACTTCTCTCTCTCATACGCAGTTAAAGAATTTATCAATTAATACAATTTTTTTTCAAAATCTTTTCAGAATATGTTAAAGTAATATTTTCTCTTTTACGTGCAAAAAGTAAATTTTGCAATAGTTTAATAATGCTACTTATAATATACAATGTGTGGCAATAGGATATGACTACAACTTTTGTACTGTGATCTTTTTATATGTCCTTAACCAAATAATAAGTTTTTAATAATTAATCTTTTGATAGTATAACTATATACATCTGCTAATTAACGTCTAATATCTGCATAAATAACGTCGAATTTAAATATATTAGCTTGTTTATTTGTTTTTAATTAAACTGGCATATTTATAAAGTGACCATAAAGTGCCCTTTCATTTTACCAAGGTGCTTGCTCTTGACCAATTTCAGAAACAAAATATTGCTTTAAGTAATTTCTCATTCCGTTTGCAACGCGACTACTTCTATTTGCACCTACTCTACCTAAGTTGTAAAACAATGATTGACTAATCCGTGTTTCAATTTCATCATTGTGCTCAGTATTCCTAAACTGAGGGCAATATTCAGAACGACTACATGTAATCAAAAAATTATGTAGACATATTATGGCTTTTACAATCTGTTCAGCATGTTCTGGGGAACAGCTTAGACATGAAAGTAGAATTTCCCATTTTATTGTCAGAATTGCAAACGCGTTCTCAATTGTTCTCCTGGCTCTTGACAACCGATAGTTGAAGATGCGTTCCTCATCAGACATTCTTTCATTTTTCTTAGGAAACGGTCTCATCAAGTAATTCCTCAATGGAAATGCTTCATCTGCAACAAAGACGTAGGGAAATGGAACATCTGTACCAGGGAGTGAAGAAGGTGGTGGTAAATTAACTTCTCCTGCTTCTAAATCCTGCGCAAAATCCGTATTGTTCCAAACACCACCATCACTCACTGATCCTACAAACAAAAATATGATATGGGTTACTTACAATACGCTGCATTTTATTTAGATAATCAAGATAATAAGATGCACTATTATATATTGTATACATACCATATTGTCCAATATCCACCCATGTAAACTTATACTCTGCATAGCAAGCAGCCATCAACACAATGCTGAAGAATTTCTTATAATTAAAAAACTTGGACCCTGACATGGGAGGAGCTTTAATGCGGATATGTTTCCCATCAATGGCACCAAGACAATTAGGAAACTGCCATTTCTCCATAAATCTATTTGCTACTTCATTCCATGAATTACGATCCATTGGTGGGAGAAAAATGGGTTGTAATGTTTCCCAAATCGCTTGACAAGTCTCAGGAATGATTTTATGCGCTGTTGATCTTCCTATGCGGAACTCATTGTGTTTGCTCAAAATAGAATCTCCTTGTGCCAGATATCTAAAAATAGTAGAATTGTATCAAATACCGAATTTCAATATAAACTAATTTCCTGAATACTCACAAAAGGGTCACTTGTAAGCGTAGCTTAGGATCTAACGGAGTCCTCCGGCTTCGTTTCTGCAATTTATCTTGCACTTGATCAAGTAGCCAATTAAACTGCTCGGGCCACATTCGAAAAGTACGATAGAATTTCTCGTGATCTTGGATCTCCATTTCTCTAATAAGATTTAAAAGGAAACCTTGTTCATCTTTATTTCGATTTATAGGACGGACCCACCACCTTCTTCTTCCATGGCCACGTTCTCTTTGTTTTCGTTGTTTCCATTGTAATATCAAATGCTGATGACACGCAATGAGGAACGAACTTGTCGCAATTAATTGATAATCCATTCTCTCATGGTAAATAATAACCTATTTAGCAAGAACTACAGCAAGAACTTTTTGAAAGGATCACGTTTTCTCTTTTTAATATCTGGTGATGTTTGTTTTTTGGGAACTTTGTGATGATGTACATAGTAGTATTGAAATAACTTATTGAATGATGACAATGCCATCTCTACCCCGATTTCTACTCCTCTGTATTGTAGACGAGACTAGCGTAAGCTCCTTACTCTTTGCTCCTTAAACCTACTCTTACTTCTTAAACCAAGCTTACTACGTGTATTGTAGACGGGCCTTTACAGCTAACGGTAGACGCGTCTTAACGGTTGAATGAAAGTTGCGGAAGTAAACAAAATCAAGCAGGACAAAATAGAATCTTCAACTGATGGTTAGTAAAATATGTGAAAAAATTTCTGGCAATTAATTATTAAATAGAAAATTGTTAGAAATAGAAATATAAACGAATTCTTTTTTCTGTTATTATTAAAATTTGAATTGTTGGATGAAAAAGTAATAGATTGCTGTACATTGCTGCTTTAAAGTGCGTTGGAGATAATTCATAAAAGTATTATCTACTAAATAAAACAAAATTCAGCTGCACCTAGCTGCAACTTGAGTTTTTATAAATTTTTTTCTAAAATGAATCGTTTCAAGAGTTATAATAATAAATGAAAGAAATAACCCTGGTAGATATTGTAAGCATTATTGAATTTTTTCTTGGATTAAAACTAACTATATTGGATAAATTGGGCAACAAAACTACATGAAAACAAAGCAACATAACCTGTATTAAATTGTCGACATTGCCGGCTTATGTACGGATGTACGGCGTATATAACATAAGCTTAAAATTGTTATTTCGTATATTAATACAACTTAATTATTTTTAAACTGTACAAAAGTTGCCTTGTAAAACAGACAAAGACGGTCCTTTATATATAAGATTTATTTGATTTTTTTAAGCTATAAATGTCATCTGATGTATTAAAATGTTTCCCATAACAATCATATTTAACAGTGTTATTTGTTTTTTAGGTTCCAATACTTCGACTGAAGGAGGATTCACGAGACTGCAATTGTTTCATGTTATAAAATCTATTTTTAAAGAAGATGTGACAAATATATATTCAAGAATTAAACAATTTTTTTCCGAAAAACGAGGTTCCGAATACATATTGTCAGATGACGAAAAAGAGAAAATAAAAGATTTGGTGTTCAAGATGAGAACAAGATAGAATGAATGCGCCAGGTCGGAACATAAATTAAAAAAAAAAAAATCATGATTGGCTGCAGAAATCTGTTGAACTAAAAACAAAAATGAAAAGCAAAGATTCAGAAGAAAATAAATCTGATGAAAACAAGCCTAATTCCGGTCGGCCACAACTCGGTTTTTCAGTTTTCTGAACGAAGTAAACGCAGAAAAACTGAAGGATTACGAGCGACATTAATATCGACTGAAGCACTCCTTTATTCAGCAACGAGTAAATTGCGGTCCGAAGGAAAAACTGATTTCGCAAAAGTGGTGAAAGATATCTCAGAAGGGAGTCCTACTAAAGCTGCAAAGTATAGAATATCTTTGACTCCGTAAATACTAATTTGCCGTTTACTAATGACGAAGCTTTATCATTATTTATAGAACTGGGATTATCGCAAAGTAAATATCAGCAGCTACGAAATGCTCATTTGCAGAAAAAATCAAAGATGATTCCATCATATAAAAAACTACAAACAGCAAAATTAAAATGTTATCCAGTTGAAGGTCTTTCTATCACTGCAAATGAAGCAGAAGTAAAATTGCAGCATCTACTTGATCACACAATTGAATGCATTATACTTTATCAAATGGAAGTTATAAAAACTTTATTAGAGAA